AGAAGTCGCATCTCGTCTCTGTCATAACTCATTGACATGAATTACAGAAAACGCAAGATCGTTAACTCTTGATCCCGTGATCGTGAATCGTCTTGGAGTGTCAGGAGAGCAAGCACAACGTTCAACGTTAAATGTTCAACGTTCAGTCTGTGCACTCCCTGTGTCACAGTGTTCGCCTAGAGGCGCTTTGTCCGTCTATAACCAGTCCAATAACGAAATTGTCATCTACCCAGCTTCGAGCTATATATATATACGCATGTTACCGGTTTCGACAGCCACAACAGTTAAGCTCAAGAAAATGGGAATTCCGCGATACGACGAGAGAAACAAAGCGAGACGTTATTTCAACTGTAATCGTAAGCCATTAAACTACTTGAACGCGACTCGTCCAGAAAATCACGACACAGTGCCCGTCAACCCAGCAGGGAACGATGAGAAATCCGTCTGGTCCGTGACGGATTGCCCGTCCACTGCGAAAGATATACGTAACCTTAATCGGACATTGCTCTGCAAGAAGAGGAAAGCAGGGATTGAGCACATAAACCACAACGACCTGCAAGAAGTCTTACCCCTGGTGGCGCAACAACCCTCATTTGTTGCGTCTCGACAGAGCCAGGCTTCACCTCTGGATTCGACATTGGTAGCATGCTTAGTTGCTGAGACTGCAGAAGGAGAGGTCAGACGCGGAAAGTAGAAGGTGAAAAGATTGACAACAAACCTTGGGCACCGCCGCCTGGAAACTCAGGCCAGTCACCGTCTGTTCACCTGAGGTCTGGAACCGCGCTAGAATCATCACCATGCCAGGCTTCGCGGGGTTCGTCTGCGGTGTAAGGGTTATCTTGAGCCCGTTCTTTTCGTATGCTGTGTATTGCGTCAGCCGACTTTGCTGTGATGCCGGTGCCGGTGCTGGTGCTGGTGCTTGCGCAGGTGGTGGTGACGTTGCGGAAGAGAATAGGGACGGTGCTGGAGACGACGTGCTGCTGCCTCCGAAGAGGTTGTGTGTCTGAATAGGCGGTACAGCTGGCTGCGTGTACGATGAAGATGGAGTAGACGAGTCGAAGAGTCCGAGGATATCGTCCATGCCCTTCCTCTGAGGTTGTGTTGGCGCACTGGGTGTTGCACCGGAGGTTGACCCAGTGTCATCGTTTGAGCCGAAGATTTGTGAGAGCAGATCCTGGTTGCTCTGTACCTGCTGGGCACCATTGGTAACAGGGCTGGTTGAGATGATGTCGTCGCCCATGAGATCGCCCTGATGGATGATCGTTAGAAGGCAGCAATTTCGCCCAAGGAAAAAAAACTCACGTCTTTACTTGTAGAGCCGACTGGCTTGTTCTCGCTGACTGTCCAAAGAATGAAGACAGGCCAATGCAAGAGGAAGAAGAAATGACCATACCGGTGCCCATGACCGTTGCCTTCAACTCTGGCGGGGGCATTCGCTCGAGCACGGCTTCCCTATCTCCCACCAGCCGGTAGAGACTAGAAAACTCTACCGCTCTCTGCTGTAGCTCAAGTTCGGGGCTGTTGGTGTATCTCAAAAGTACTTCAGAGATACGCTCTGATTGGGGACCGGACGTAGTCGACCGCGAGGCGATCTTAGTAAGGGCGGTGAGGACGAACTGCTTGGTGAGATAGTTTGCGTAGGGTGAGTCCAGAATAGACACGATCAAGTCGACGACGTCTTTGTCCGTAACCTGAAACGGGAGTTTAGAACCAAGCTTGTTGATAATGAGGGTTGCTCACTGGTTTCTGTTGCTCCTCCTGGTCTATCAAGCCTGCCTCGAGAAGAACTTCGCTGTACTCTCCGATGACCCAGGTCGCAGCAAGAGTCAAACTTTCTTGCGAGATATCCAACTTCAAGGACGTGAACAATTTGGACGCCGTGTACGCCTGCAACTCTGGGGTGTGTGCAACCAGTCGGATGAAAGCAGATAGAATCTCTTCTCGAACGAAGTTTCCAGCCTGAACCCACACCGAGATAAGCCAGAAATCCCCAGGGCTATTCAAGTAGATGCAGATTGCGTACCAGTTTCAATGTTCGCAAAACCGTATCAATATGCCATCGCTTGCTTGGCGCGTACCGCTCGGCTGCCAGGCTGATTTGCGTTGTCATTCCGAGCTTGAACTCGTCATCGGCAACCTCCAAGAAGGCCAGCAACTCTCTAACGAGGATCTTGACATTCGACTCGTTGATCAGAGCATACGACAACTCCAGGGCACGTCGTCGAATCGAGATATCCCCGTCGCGTAGACAGTCGAGAATAATGTTTCGATGCCGTTGGACGACATCCGCCTCGGTCGTGATCACTTTGTTCAGCGTATGCAGGGCAACGTATCTGTGACCATCTCAGAGGCAATTCGAGTGGATAGACGCAGTGACTTACCGAATATTGTTGTCCCGATTGCTCAAGAACTTTCCAAGGATGTTGATGGCCATGACACGGAGACTGTCCTCTGCCTCAATCTCCAACACGGTCAGTACGGCCTCGTACAAGATCGAGTTTCCGACGTTCTTGGTTGCATCCGTGTTGGTAGAAACTTGAGCAAGGATGTCGTTCATGAGCTCACTGGCGGCATGATCGCCTTTGCCCAGCATTCTCAGGAGCCTGAGAATCTTGACTTGCAGGAAGGGGTCGGTGATGCCAGATACGTCGTGATCGGGACTGTGTGCTCTCGACACCTTCTCTTTGAGAGATCTGACGAGGAGAGGGACGGCCTACACGCAGGATCAAAATGGTCGTCAAGTTTCCGCGAAGGATTACGGGGGAGAGAAATTGCTTACATTGCGGAACTCGTCCAGAATCGCGTTGTCCAGCTGGCACATCTTCGTGACGAGGGTGATGGCGGTGAGTTGGACGCCGTTATTTGGGTCAGTGAGCAAGTTCTTGACTTTCGAGACGAAATGGTCGCTCAAGTCCGGAACCTTCTTGACGACTCGAAGGGCGCAAAGGGATGCCTGAAAGACGTTTGAACAAATATACAGCGCCCAAACGCACGATGACATACCTTCTTGCGAATGTAGGTGTTGCTCGAGCCCAACAGCTTCTCTATCTCGTTTGCAAGATCCCGCGACATCTCCTCGGACGCGATGTTTGCAAATGTGCACAGGGCGAGCCCCACCGCGTACATATTGGAGTGGTTCATATCACTGGAGAGGTGATCAGCACATAAAGCCGAACCCCGTAGAACCCACAGCACTCACTTCTTTAGAGAATTCGTGACAAGTGTCAGCACCTCCTGGTTCTCATCTAGTAGCAACATGATGCCCAAGTACCCCAGTCGTTTATCGGTGAACCTCGGGCTAGCGACGAGTTTCAGGCATTCTATCTGGCCGAAATGGGCTGGCGATCCAAGCATGTGTATGTAGAGCAGTTTTGCGATGTTGTTGTGTCGTGCGTACGAGTCTTCTTCCCTGAACGATGCTCGAATAGCGGCGCTTTCCTGTTGAATGAGAGCGCGCTCATCCGCGACCGTCTAGAGGTGGTGCATGTTAGCCGAAACTGATGATGCTTGCGCCAGAGCAGACGCACCTTGCAGGACCGGATCCCCTTGATCAGCGCTATATATCACAATCAGAGGCGTGCATAGATATAGCAAGGGGTAGAATACCTTTGAGGTTGTGATACACCATACTTGACCGTGCAAGGACGCTCGTTCTCGCGGTCGCGGTCGAGCAAGTTGTGGTCAAGGAGAGTTTGTGCGTGACCTACGGTAAAGCAGCTCGTGCTTCCACCACCATCATCTCTGGCAACATCTCGGACATCTCGTCTTTCCTCTACACGTCTGTTTACGACTGCTTTCGGTATTGACAAACGCTTATGCTCAAGTATATGTACCTATCATGAAGGTCGCTTGGAGAGATATGTGCCCTCAGCAGCAGCTACCACTCGATCTTACGCCTCTCGTGGGGTATGATCCTGTACATGATACAACTTTAGAAGGCATTAATGTTCCTCGTACTTCTCTCTCGATGCGGTCTATGGAATCACACTGTGAACCAATGGCCCTGGGCTACGTACAACGCGTCTCTCCTCCACAATCGACGTCTGCGCGAGCGGTGAACGCTTCGCGTGGACTTCAAAGAAGCACAGGGGATGCTACTGTAGCATTCGTCTTTGGAGCTGACGCAGTGGTCTTCCAGCTGGATCCGGATGTCAGGTCCTCCTAAGCTGGAAGGTGGCTTTGCAACGAGATCGGTGATATATTTGTGGAAATTCGTTGCTCGTCCAGATACAACAAAAAAAATCGCGATGAGAACAAGAAAGCACTACTAATACACCAAGCATATCGTCATTCTTGATGTCTAGAACTCTGAGGCTCCTCAAGCTAGTCGGTGGCGCACAGACCACAGTGCAGTGCCGTTGAATGGTTCCGTGGCTTTTATCAATCCCTTGACAAACGCGGTGGTATAGTGCGTCAGCTAAACATCGACGTGGAGTAGCTCCATTGACGCGTACAGCAACAAGGTAAGCCTCAGCATCCGGAGTAAACACCCTTCCCCAATGATATCTGACCACTGCCACAATCTCAAGGGCAACCTGGACCATCGTCAGTGACTAGAGGCCTCGAACCAAAAACGTACTTTATGTGTACGAGTAGCTACAAATATACCTTTCTCGAAATTTGAAAGGGTGGTTCCTGTTGCTCTTTGTATATCCCGTGAATACATCTACATTCAAGTCTACTTCAAGCTTAGGCGCCGTCACACATACGAGTTCTAAGATAGAAATGCTGCCCATACCCCGGTGCTGCTCACCGCTGAGACAGGGGACAGACTCGAACGTGGCGTGGGGGCAAACAGGCCCAACTCCACCCTTCAACTCACCTTCCTAGTCCTCCATCGGCTCCTTCAACTCACCTTCCTAGTCCTCCATCGGCTCCTTCAGCACTCCTCCTCCCTCCTCTCTCCTCCCTCCTCCTCTCTCCTCCCTCCTCCCTCCTCCCTCCTGCCTCCTCCCTCCTCCCTCCTCCCTCCTGCCTTCTCAACAAACACGCAAAAACAATGACAACAGTGGGACTCGAACCCACGCCACATTACGTGACCAGGAACTTCTTGCTAACAAGAGAAGCTTTCGCTTGAATCTGGCGCCTTAGACCACTCGGCCATGTTGCCATGTATAGATGCAGGAAAACAAGTATTATGTTCTGCTCATCAGGTTCAGGGCAAAAATGCCAGCCGCGCACCATGCTGTGTGGATATACAACCCAGATGCAACCTTTTGGTAACCTTCCGAACTCCTCCCAGCATCGGCCATTCACAGGGTATCATGACACTTAGAGGCGCAAATGCCCACACCATAAGCCTATTGGTTTTTACACGGACTTTCCGTCTGGATCGAGCTCAAGGTGGTCTGCCCCGGTTCTGAATGTAGCGCAGGTCCGTTTAAATTTTAACCAAGGCGTGTCGCCAGTAACGACACTTCCTGTAGGTGGGTGCCTTGAGATATGTGTGTGACCTGCAAATCGTGGTGGCGAAGAGTCGCCGAAGACGGTGAGGACTATCCACGAGCACCAATTATCAGGCGTCTTCCAACGGGGGAGGAGGATGGTGATGATAGATAGATAGAGATATGCAACGAGACGAGTAAATGCAGAGATACGACACGTCCCAACCAAGATAACCCAGAGGTGCCTCAGACTTTACAGCCATTTGAGCGGAGAAGATAAAGGAAGGAAATCAGCTCATTGCTTCTCCTGTGTCTCCCTCCGCCTCCACTCCGCCAGCATCTCCACGCTGATCATCTTCAATCCCCACCGATCCGCAAACAACCTGCAATCATCGCGCCTCGCCATGCTCCCCGTCTCATCATCATTCACCAACTCGCACAGCACACCCGCGGCTGGCAAATCACTGAGGATACACAAATCGGTAGCGCTCTCGGTGTGGCCTTTACGAGTTAGAGTGCCGCCGTCGCGAGAGCGCAAGGGGACCATGTGGCCGGGGCGGGTGAAGTCGGCCGATGTTGCTGAAGGGGAGGCGAGCGAGCGCACAGTGAGCGCACGGTCGTGCGCGGAGATTCCAGTGCTTGTGCCTGCAGAAGGCGCCCTCAGCGAGGCGTTCATACCGTAGTGGTGAGCGATAGAACGTACCATATTTGTAGTCAACCGTAATAGTATACGCCGTCCGATGTCTCTCCTCATTCTGAGGCACCATCATCGGAATATCCAGCTCCTCCAGCCGTTCCTGCGGTAACGCTACGCAAATGTACCCACTGCGTATCAAGCAAAACAATCAACAGTCAGCGCTCCGCGGCAGATCCACGCCCGTCACCAGCTATTTCTTGCGTACCTCGTATGTTTGATCATCCACGCCATCTTCTCCGTCGTGCATAGGCTCCCTGCGATGATCAAGTCCCCCTCGTTTTCTCTGTCCTCGTCGTCCATCACGACGAGGAATTCTCCGGCTTTGAAGGCACCGAGAGCGTCCTCCATCGAGTCGAACTCGAATTTTGAGCGCGGTGAAACGTCTCTCGCGACGGCCCTCCATGCGGAGCCAGAAGAAACTTTAGAGTCCATCCCGTTGAGTTTGGAGTGGGAAGTAGAACTAGCAGAGGTGCCGGTGGTAGAGGTTGCTGCTCCGTTCGTAGTGGGCAAACACGAAACGGGTGCGGGAGAGCTGTGGGTAATTGCAACTGGAGCCATCAGGACAAACTAGGTTGGATATGGGTAAAGAGACGAGTGTACTTGGGAGCAGCGGAAAGAAAGAATTGTGAACGAGAGAGAGATGTGTCCGATGTCGAATTTATTACATTCGGTCTGGGTCAGCAAAAGTTATGAATCTGATTCTTTCTGGACCGCAGAGAGCCGGGTTGACATCTTATCACGCTGGATGATTGACTCAACCTGATCGACTTCCTCAGATGTGATCCGGGACGGGCAAGTCGGCAGGTCCATTCACCGTATTAGACACCAACAACTCCTCCATCCGTTCGTGGTAGAAATGGCAAGCGAAAGGCGGGGTCTGGGTCTTCGACTCGCCTGGACCGAGATGTACAAGAAACAATAGCAATCACTCTCTCGGTGCTCACAGTCAATCTCATCGTGCTGGACCCAGCGAAACCACTACGTGGCCGAGCACCCCAAGCAGCGAAGCAAGGAGTGGTCTTGACTCTTGACCCGGTCTTGAGAGCAGCTCCAAGAGCGCCCTGAATACTCTTAAGATCCGCTTTCACCAAGATAACCCTGAATCGCCGTGTCCTTGGGTTCGCAAGCGCTTCATCATACATAGCAAAGCAGTGGTTGGCAAAGACATTCTATATGCATTGCACAAAGTACCGAGATACTCAAATCTACTAGTACGTGATCCGAATGGAGACAGCGAGGAAGGCAAGCAAGAGATGAAGAGTAGGTATAAGCAAGACAGAAAGAATCCTATGGAAAACGGCGTGTCAGCATATATTTCAATTTAACGACAGAACCTAAGAAGACACGTACCGTTTACTTTCCACCAGTCGTTCCCATTCCCATAGCCGACTTGAAGCTGTCGTAGATCCACCACTGGAAACCGGTAAGGGTACCAATCATGATCACCCTCGTGCCGAGACCCTTGGTAGCCAAAGTCTTGAAGCCGACCTCGTTGGCGATCTGTCCGGCACCCTTGCCCTTGTTCTCGGCCTTTCCGAGGAGCGAAACGAGAGTGTCAGCGGGGTGGGAGACAATGGCGCAGACAACACCGGCGAGGTAACCAGAGGCGAAGGTGACGCCGAGCTGGGTGCCCTTGCCGTAGGTCTCCTTGGGGGCGGTGAAGACGTGGGTGTAGAACACCTGGACGATCTTCTCGAAGAAGAAGAACTTGGCCATGGTGTAGGGGATCTATCGATGCTGATTAGTCCTGGCCAGTGAAGAGCATATACGCAAAGTGTGCTTACCTGACGGGACCAGAGAGGGACGAGCGAGCCGAAGGGGAAGCGGGTCTCCACCTTGTTGGCGCTCATCTTGGAGAGAGCAGCGCCGAAGGCGGTGGGGAAGGTACCGGTAGGGCTGGTCTGAATCCTGACCTTGGTCATCTCCATGGGGCACAGAGCGATGTCGGCGAAGATCTCAGCAGAGGCGGAACCAGCAAGCCAGATGAGGGGCTTGTACTTGGAGGCGTTCTCCTCGCCAGCAAGGTTGCTGTACTGGTCCTTGAAGATCTCGTACAGACCGTACTTGAACATGCCCTGGGCGGAGTAACCGACAAGAGTGGGCCCGAAACCCTTCCAGATACCGCGCGAACCTTCCTCCGCCATAAGGGTCTTCAGACCGGGCATGAGGCCAGTGTACTTGGTGGGGTTGACCTAGAGCAAAACAAATGAGCTAGAGAACATTGCGTAATGGGTATGCACGTACCTGCATGTTACACTTGGTAACATCCAGAGGGGTGATGGCAGCGTGGGTTCCACCGCAAGCGAGGGCACCACCGAGCATAGCCTTAGCATAGTAGGAGGTATCGTGAACGATTGGGCCCGAGTATCTAATACACCAGCCCAAATTAGCTTCCAGTGCCAGCAAACAGTGAAGAAAAAAGGAAGCGGCTGCGTTCATGTGCTCAAAAGAAACAACGTACCTCGAGTCCCATTTTCCGGTGACGTTGACGGAGGCCATTATGAATAGAGAAAGAAACTAAGTCTATGAAGTCTAGAGGAGGAGGGAGGAGGAGGACTGGAGACGAAGCCCAGTGAGATGGGGGGAGTTGGTAAGTAACTGACGCTCGAAGACGAGCAAGGAAAACAATTTTGATGTGCTCTCCCGATCATCCCGAGTGCACCCGGACCGACCTCAGCCAGTAGACGCATACATGCCGCATGCAGCTCGGGTTGCCTTCAACATCCAAGTCCTTGAATATCGAATACAGGTTTACGTGCATCATCGCTCAGTTTTTTCAGGGTTTATTCCAGCATGAACGAACCCAGACACACTCTCCGACAACTGCCAGCTGGAGTTTTGCTTCTCAACGCACGTTCGTATCATCCCAGATTGGTACTGTCTGGTCGCCTGGCACCAAGGCTATACACATATCTGAGAAATAACATCAAGCACCTGCCTACACAAACGCCATGATATAGCCAACATCAGGTCGAGCTCGCGACTATCATTCTTGTATCCGATGTCCTTTAGCCCTCCAGAAGCACTATACGCATCGCTGGGTTGCCAGTCATCCACATAGCCCGGATTACGCGGAACACGACAAATCCAGATAGTTCTGCAGAGTACATTGCAGGAACGAGCGTGACGAACGCAATCTGTCCTCTACCTCCACCAGTGAGTACGCAGTTCTTCATAAGTCACCTGTTTCTAATGGACGACTGTAGCTTCAGGCTCTATCGACAGCGGTCAATGTCCAGCACATCGACAGATAACGAGAGGTTTCTTATCGACTGGGAAGCTCCTGTAGAGGTCCTAGAGGCCCTCATTTCGACCTCTCCAGCAAGCTTTTCCGCCTCGACGATACCGATAGACCTCAAGCCGATGGTTCAAGTAGAAGAAACTCTTGGTGCGAATCCCCCAGCCCCAGACGTGGTCGCTTCGCGCGTCCTCGTCGCGAAAGCTCCTGCGGCCACCCTCGCCTCGAAGATTCCCGCGGACGTTCTTGAAATCATTCTCCTCATGGCTGTCACGCCAGACACCGACTTCACCCCCGATTTCATGGCGGCACCACATAGATCTAACAGCAGTCTCCAGGCACTGGCGCATGGTTGCCTTGGAAAGCGCGCTCTTTTCGAGTTGTATTACCGTCTATCCATGCAAAGAGCTGCCAGATATAGACAGGTCGGGCATCCATCCTTTCAGCGTCAGACTGCAGGTGGAAATAACGAGAGATCTCCCTATTGCGTGGAAGGCTGGTACTTTGCAACGCCCTCTTGTCGCTATCCTGGAGGGGCCACGACTCCAGGACTTCCATCTTCAGGAGATACGAGACTGGAGTCGTGACTCTATGGAGAACGCAGGGAGCGCCCTGGAACTGACGTTCCAGTATCTGCCAGCCCAGAAAGCTAGCATCCTTCACTTTTTCAAGATCGTCCTAAAGACCCGAGCTACTCTCCCCGTCCACGTGCTGAACGTTGCAAAGCCTGCACTTCGCCACCTTCACCTCGACACTATCACCGTGGAGTGGGATCTCCTTCTTCATCGCCA